GGATCCCAGATGCCAAGAGAGCTTTTAACTCTTTTAATCATTTGGATTTGTGGTGGCATTTTTTTTTTTCAATGCAAATCCTATTGTGATTATCTCCAAGCCCCTGGCCCTCTCCATGCTTCATAGCTTAAAAAAATATATACATAAAAACAAACAAACAAACAAAAAAACCCAAACTGTCCAGGGAATAAATATTCACATTTATCAGAAGCTTCATAAATGACAACTCAGTTTTCTGCTCATCAGCTCCCAATTTGGTCTGGGATAAATTGAAAGAGCAACAGTGTGCTATTTCCACACATGGGCTGGCTGCAATGCAGCTGTGAGGAAAATGAGCAAAGTGCACCCAGCTGTTCCTGAGACTACTCATTTTACATGCAACATGTCCCTGCAGGGGGAATAGTCTGGTTTAACAGAAGCAAAAGAATCTCGTTGTCCTTTCTTGCAAAGGATTCTTGCCTACAACCTTGTAACTTCTCTTAGAGTTATTGGCAGATTTTTCAAACGTCATCTCTTTTTCCTTGCTGCATCTGAACTCGTAGATGGCAAGAGATGGGAAATTTACTGTAGGCCACGGCAAGGTCTTCCAGAGGTCTGTTACTGCATTATTTCCAGCCTGACACCTTCAACTTGCAGTCATTAGGACTTGTTGTATTTCAATCTGCCAATATTAACCATTCCCTACTGCTTAAAAATTAGCTTTGGGCAACAATGCCTATGTATCTGATTAGTTCCTACAGACACAAGAGTGTGAGACTCATTATGTATCAGAATAACAGCAGCCAGCACTGGTGCTAAAATGTTTTTAGGACTCCTTTAAACATGGTCAAGTTTCCGAATATTCTGCATTTCAGGTAGTATCCCTGTTCTCCTAATCACCTACCTCAACCTACTATCTTGGTAACATTGCTCATTAGTAAATTGATGACAGGTCACTTGATGACAGTGGGAACACACAAGTCTCGACAGGGTCTGGATTAGGCTCCTGACCTCTACTGCAGCCACTTTAAGGGCTTACGTGCATCTGCTAGAAGCAGAATGGCTTCTGCAGAATCGTAGGGATCCTATGAATGTTTCAGTAGTTCGATGAATTAAAAAAGGCTACTCTGAGATAGCTGCACATCATTGAGTATGTCTCATGAGAACAGTGCTTTTACCAGGAGAACTTGTTTAGCCTCTGGGGTTGGCTCTCCTGGTTGGATCTGGAGCAGGATGCTCTGATGCCATCAGGCTATTTCTCTTTCTGTTGTATCTGTCCTTGACAGCCTGTCATGGGGATTGGTAATTCCACACCCTTTTTTTTTGCATCCATTTTCCCCTCCTCATGTCACAAAAGAGATTTTCTGAGATCTTTCACTCCTGTGCTCTTTCCCTCCCTTGAGGGCAACGGAGTAGAGGGGCCCCAGGGAGTGATTCCCTGGCCACTGGGTAAGGGGAAAGCAGAATTCTCCTATCTGCTCCATATCTGGAGGAGCAGAGACAAGGGATGGCAAGAGTGCTTTCCTGAACACAGGCTGGTAGCTCCCTAGGAATGCTTTCCAACACTACGGGAACTCCAGATGCTCCTTTCTTGGAGCAACAAGCTGGGAGCAGCCCTCATGGCTTTTGGCTGCCTTCATGGGGGTCCCTCCTACACTGATAAGGCCTTTGAGGTGAGGGAGGTGGAATATCTCAAGTACACAGAAATCCCTAGTTCTGCTTTCAACTCTGCCAATAATCATTCTGGGATGATGAGTGAAGGGCAGTCTTTATCTTTAAAGTTTACACAGCTGTAATACTTACCTGAAATTTAAATGAGTCAGGATGATTCTCCAGTCAGGGAGATATCTACTGATAAAGCACTGATTATACAAATCTTCAAATCTTTTCTGAAGTTTTCCTAAAAATTGTGTTTTACAAGTAAGTCTGAAGAAGTTCTAGCCAGTAATCACATATGATGTATCTGGTACTCTGCTACTCTATTCGTGCTTTCTGCAAATCATACATTGTAGAAGAGCGTCTGAGAGGAACTGCACATCCAGCATGATGAGATATCAATTTTGGACAGTGCATATGAGTACAAAAAGGACTACTATTTACAACAAAACCCAAAACCAAAGCAACTGTAAGAATGCTCAACAGCACTCCTAGGAATTCCCAAAAGAATTCTCTCCTTAACTGACATTTGGTCTAAGTCTCAGCAGCTTTCTGACCTTAGAGTTTACAAAGCATAGATGAATTGCAAGAAGATTAAGATAAACATCATAAAATGGAAAGAATAGAGGACAATGGGTCATGCTGCCCAGAGAGGCCGGGAAATTGCCAGGGCTGGAGACAGGCTTGGTAGCTTGATTTTGTGGTGATCATTCAAGGGTTGCTTATTTGAAAATGAAATCAAAGATGCAGCATGTCAGACAGATGGTCTAAACCCAGGAGAAATCCCTTCTGCTCTGTGATAGTATGTGTGAAAGGTTCAAGGGTTCCAGGATCCTTATGACCTTGTTCATGCCAGCAAGACCAGGAGTTTCCTACCGGTGAAACAATATGTTTGGAGTCATGCATCATGGAAAGGTTTGGGACTGGTCTACAGAGTTCTTCAATGCAAAACAGAAGTCAGACTTACGCTAACGTTAGTTTTATCACTTCCACTAGAAGAAATACTCCATCGTTTTATAACCTAAACATACACAAAAGAGAAATATTTCTTTTGTTGTTACTTTTATCTGTTTTATCCAGTTTGCTCTCTTGGGGAAAAATCAAGATAGGAAAATGGCTTCCAGACAGGTTCCTTGTGTCAAATGCCAGGGGGAAAAAAAAAAAAAAAACACAAAGAAAGCCTTTTTTTATAATGATTCTCTTCCTTCCTTCCTTCCTTCCTTCCTTCCTTCCTTCCTTCCTTCCTTCCTTCCTTCCTTCCTTCCTTCCTTCCTT